TCTCTTGAGGAAATTGTAATTTTTTTAAAGCGATTTGCAAGAATTTCAACTGAAATGTGCGCATCGACTTATCCTACTATAAGTTTAGTTTACCCTATGTATAATAATTTAATGGACCATGCTGAAAAAATAATGAAGAATGGAAAATCTTCAAAATTCTTAGTTGCAGCTATAAAGGTAACATAGAATAAGCTTAGTAAATATTACAATAAAACTTCTGAATCAGTATATTACATTTCTACGATTATTGATCCACGATAGAAGCTTGAATATCTTCAAAGCTGAATAGAAAATGATGATGATATATTTTATAGAAAAGTAAAAAATTTGTAAGTAAATTAATTTTTACTATAGAAATTGATAAATTATAAATATTAAAAAAATTTTTATTATTAAAATTAGATTTGTAAGTAAATTTGATAAGTATCATTCTATTTACTTTTCAATTTCGATATCTGCTGTTTTTGATGATAATGAGGATAGCAATGATGAAGATTTTTTATTTCCTATTCCTAAACGCTTTTGAAATAATAATGGACATGATAAACAATTTAATTATCTTGATAGTTCATCAGAACCAAGAATTATAAATGTATTGGAATGGTGGAAAAATCATGAAATTAATTATTCAACATTATCTATGATAGCATGTGATTATTTATCAATACCGTCTACTAATGCGTCTGTAAAACAATTATTTAGTCAAAGTAACAATTTAATTATACCAGAATGTAATATACTTGAAAGTGATACAATTCATGTGACAATGTGTCTTAAAAGTTGGCCAAAGTCTGATATGTTTTAATTTTTTTTATATATAAATTTTTTGTATAATTTGAGAAATAATAATGGTTAATAATAATAAAAAAAAGAGTATTAGGATAATAGTGCTTTTTTTTTTGAAAAAAAAATATAAAGTTTCAATTGTGTAATGTTATTAAATATAAAAATAAAAATTTAAAAAAATTTAACTAAAAAAATTTTTATAATGTAAATTTAATTAATTTTTTGAATTGAATAACTGGTTGGTTTGGTTGGAGAAGATAATATACCTTTGACGAAGGCTAGATAGCATTTACTTTATTTTTTACTTTATGTACCCATTTTGTAATTTTCTTTAATTTATATTATGAAAATGTTTTTTTAATAAATAAATGCTTCACCACGTCTTAAAAATATATATATATATATTTAATCATTTTGATTCAGTTTGGTTGATTTGATTTGATTTGATTTATCAAATATTTAAATTGATTTGATTTGATTCATCAAATATTTGATTTGATTTGATTTGATTTATCAAATATTTGATTTGATTTGATTTTGCTGAATCCTAGGAATAATAAATAAATTCATTTTGATAGAATGATAAAGCATCATTCTAAAGGAAAGATAAATAATATTATTCTGATAGAATATTTAAACATCATTCTAAAGGAATAATAAAAGAATCATTCTGATAAAACAATGAAAATATCTTTCCTTTAGAACGATAATACATCATTCTAAAGAAATGATAGAAAGAATCATTCTAAAAGAATGATAAATAACATTATTCTAATAAAATGATGAAAAAAATCATTCCTTTAGAATGATATTGTATTATTCTAAAGGAATGATAAATAAAATTATTCTGATAAAATGACAATGCATAATTCTAAAGGAATTATAGAAGAATTATTTTGATAGAAAGATAATGCATTATTATAAAGGAATAATAGAAGAATAGTTCTGATTAAAGATGGGAACTGTAATTAATATGTTGCAACTTTTAATATTGCAACTTACGTTGCAATTAGTTTTATCCTATATATGTTGCAACTTATAATGTTACAACATATGTTGCAACTAATTTTAGCTTATGTTGCAACATTTTGTAAATTTGAAATCAATTGCTGTACCATCTTTAATTCTGATAGAATGATAAAATATTATTCTAAAGAAATGATAGAAGAATCGTTCTGATAGAATAATAAAACATTATTCTAAAGAAATGATAGAATGAATAGTTCTGATAAAATAATAAAATATCATTTTAAAGGAGCAATAAATAATATTATTTCAATAGAATGATAAAGCATCGTTCTAAAGAAATAATAAATAAAATCATTCTAATAGAATAATAAAGTATTATTCTAAAAGAATTATAAAATATCATTCTGAAGTAATGATAAAATATCATTCTGAACGAATGATTAAACATTATTCTAAAAGACTGATAAATAAAATCATTTCAATAGAATAATAAATAACATTATTTTAATAGAATGATTAAACATCATTCTAAAGAAACGATAAATAAAATCATTCTGATAGAATGATATAGAATGATGAATGAATAATCATTTTTTTGGAATGATAATAAAATTATTCCTTAAGAATGATAATAAATCATTCCTTAAGAATGATAATAAATTATTCCTTAAGAATGATAATAAATCATTCTTCAAAATGATAATTTAATCATTTTTTTAGAATGATTCTTTTTATCATTCCTTTAGAATGATTCTTTATCATTCTATTGAAATGATTCTTTCTATCATTTCTTTAGAATAATGCATTATCGTTTTATTAGAATGATTCTTTCTATTATTCCCTAAGAATGATATACTATAATTCTATCAGAATGATTTTTTTTATCATTTTTATAGAATGAAACTTCTATTGTTCTTTTAAAATCATGTATATCATTCTATTTGAATGAATTTTTTTATACTTTTAAAAAAAATTGTTAAATATTCAACTTGATTTTAGACTCAATTTTTGCTTAATTTTGGGCTCAACTTTATACTCAAGTTTTGCTCAACTTTTAACTTGAGTTTAGCTCGAGTTATCTTGAGTCGAATCTTGCTTAACTTGAAACTCAACTTAAATTAAACAAGTCAAATTTTTTTTACTTGACTTAACTCAACTTGACTTAACTTATTTGACTCAAAAGTTGGCTTAGTTCATTTAAAACTCTAACTTTAATAAAAAAAATTAAATTTAATATTTTAATTATTATAATAAATTAAATAATAATAATTTTATTTTAGTATTAAAATAGAAAATAGTTTTAATTTTAAATTTAAAGATAATTATACTTTTAATAAAAATTATTTTAAAAATATTTAACTAAAATATTAATATTTTATAATATAAATAATGAATATAACATATTTTTTATACAAAATGATAAAAAGTAATTTTAATAAAATTATTTATAAGAAATAAATAAATAATTAATAATCAATAATAATAATAATAATCTAATTATTTAAATTACAATAGTTTTCTATAAATTAATCATTAAAATATAAAAATACGACTATTAAATATATCTTAATGAAAAATTTATTAAATTAAATTATATTTTTCTGTAATTATTAGATATTAAATAATTATTAGAGTTTAAAATAAATAAACTGATATAATTATTGATTTAAAAGCTAAAAATATAAATATAATACTTTTAGATTTATCTTAATTAAATAAATCAAGTAAGCTAAATTTTACCTTTTTATAGTTACTAAATATTAAAATAACCTAATTTATTTATAATTTTTAATAAATAATTTTATATTAATTATATGTAAAAATAATAATTTTTTTAAATATAATAAATATATCTTTATTTATCAAAATTAATTAAATATAATAAAAGTTTTTATCATTAATTAATATTTAAAATTGAATTTTTAATAAATAAGTATTTTATAAATAATTTAAATAACTTTTTATTTATAAATTAAAAATTTAACAAATTATTAAATAATTTATGATAATATTAATAAATATTATATTCTCTAGACAAAAATTAGTAATTTATTATAAATTATATTACTTAAATTAAAAATTTAATAATTTTATAAGCAATTTATTATAATAATATATAATATCTTATAATTCAATTTTAATTAAATTAAATAAATTATAATAAGGTAATAATAATTATAATAAATAATATAAATATATTATAAATATATTTTTAATTATTTAAAGATATTAGTTATAATAAATTTGTTAATATACTTTTTTTTCCTCAAATAAATAAAATTTAGAATTCTTAAATTAGATATTTAATATTTTTATAAAAATGTAATTAAAAAAATTATTATAGATGAGTAATTAAATTGAAAATTTATTTTAAAAATAAATTTAGATATAACTTTTATTATTTGATTTGATTTAAAACTTAAAGTTTTAAATTTTTTTTTTTTTTTTTACAATTTATTTCTTTCTTAGCATTCATAGAAAATGTAAAATATTTATTATGAATTATATTTTTATTACTAATATTTCAAAACTTAAATTTTTTAAATACTATTTAACAAATTATTTTTTAAAATAAATTGACAAATTAAATAATTATTTATTTACAAGAAATCTTTATAATTATTTATATTATATGCAAAAAAATGCCATAAACTTAAAATGATTTTTATTATAAAAATTTTATAACAATTATATGAAATTTTTTATAAAATAAATAAATTTAAAATTAATGTTATATAGTACAATTACTAATAAAATTATTATATAATACAATAAAATGTAAAAGTTTATCAATTATAGCTTTTAGATATAAGATAGAATTATTTTATTTATTTTTTAATAAAATAAAATTTTAACATTTATCGCAGCAATGAATTTTAAACAAAATAAAAAGCCACAAATCTCACAAATCTGTAATACAAATTTTTTTTTCTATCAATACTCGGTGAAATCTATATTTCCAAAATTGAATTATCACACTAGCCTTCTGTTTTATGTCGTAAACATATCTTGAAACGTTTTACCGCATCGTCTATTTTTTTAAAGGAAGGTCGTAAAAATATCGTAACGTTAAAAAATCCTGATTTTTCGTTATTTAGGGTTCAGAAATCAAAAAAATTTTAATAATAAAAGGATTCAAAAAGTTGTAAAATCAAAAAAAAAAAATAATATCTTCTTTCCATGACATTTGCGTTTAATTCGGGTTTTAAAAAATTTTTTAATCTGCAATACTTTTTTTTTTACTCCATAAATATAGAGAAAATACAGGAGAATGTTGGAAATTCTTTAGAATAGAAAACAAATTTGGTGACTTGTAACACGAAGTTCAAAGATCATCAAAACTCTTTCTTTCATCATGCCATTTTTTTTTTTTTTTTTTTTTATATTATTTTTATAAGATAAAAAAAATTTTTTAATGACAGTTTTTTTTA